GTTTGTATTTCGGGACAAAATGATGTATCAGTTTTGGAAACAAGCATCAGGCAATATGAGATGGCTTCCTCTGCCAGAGTTAACTGGGAGAAAAGCGAGGGGTTTATTACTGGCCGGTGGAGAAACACCGGACCTCCGAAACTTCCAGGAGGACTGATTTGGAGGAGGGAGGGTATAAAAGTGTTAGGTGTTTTTCTAGGAAAGGAAAGTTTTAAAATGAAGAATTGGGAGGGAGTGCTGGAGAAGGTGGTAGCTCGATTGTCGAAATGGAAATGGCTATTACCACAATTGTCCTATAGAGGAAGAGTTCTGGTGGCAAACAATCTGGCAGCTTCCACGCTCTGGCACAAACTCATTGTTCTGGAACCACCAAGTGAACTGATTTGTAATATACAGAGGAAAATAGTGGACTTTTTCTGGAGTGGCGAACACTGGACTCGGGCTGCGGTGCTTTACTTACCGGTACATGAAGGAGGTCAAGGTCTGGTGGATGTAAAGAGTCGAATTGTTGCTTTCAGGCTGCAAGCGGTGCAGAAATTTCTATACCAAGAGGAATTAGCATGGACACAGACGGCATGTGCTTTTCTGCAGAAGGTTGAAAGTTTTGGACTAGACAAACACTTGTTTCTATTGAAAATGGACGGGCTGAAACTGGACAGTCTCTCTTCTTTTTACAAATCAATGTTGCAAGCTTGGAATAAAGTTCTGAAAGTGGAGAGAAACTTGAATGAGCTTGGGGACTGGATGTATGAGGAACCACTGTTCAATAATCCGTTGATTCAGACCAGGTTTTTATCATCAATGAGCATTCGGAGAACTCTTGTAAAGAATGGAGTCACTAAACTGGGACATTTATTGGACAATGGCAGATGGAGTTCAGTGGCCACTTTTAAAGAGCTATCTGGTCTGTGCTCGATAAGAATTGTTTCAAAATTAAGAGATGAGATTTTTGCTGCTTTGCCGAGCAGTTACAGAAACCTTGTTGCTGGGGGACATGTACAACAGCGGAAAGGAGGGTTTCCAAAGTTGAAAATATTTCCTGCTGTCAGTGAAGGACAAGAAGAGCGGGAAGGATCTATACTGACTTTTAAAACTCCGCAGCTGGAAGAGCTTGAGGATGCATCAAAGAAAGCAATGCTGTATGTTACAGTGAAAGTCATTCACATGGACTCACTCAGCCGGCAGAGTTTCGCAAAGTGGACAGAGACAATGGAGCCAGACTTCATGGTGAGGGACAGGTGGAGAGTCCTGTATAAGCCTCCCATCGAGAAGCGGACAGCTGATCTGCAGTGGAGGCTTATTCACAGGGCGATAGCTACAAACAGACACGTAGCACACCTAAATCCAGCAGTGGGGGGGTGTTGTAGTTTCTGTAGTGCTGAAGAAACGATAGAGCATTTGTTCTTACAATGTTTGAGGCTTGGAGGTCTTCTTGACTTGCTTGATTCTTGGTTTCAGGGGATTGGTGAGGAGTTTTCCCATAAAGTTTTTATTGGGGGACTTAAATACAAAGTGCTCGATAGAGGTAAACTGTGTTTATTAAATTACCTCATTGGTACAGCAAAGCTTGCAATATGGAAAACAAGAAAAAACAAAGAGTTGAAAGTTGGTTCAACAAATGTAGAAATGATGTTGAAGTGTATGGTAAAAGGAAGGATAAAAATAGAATTTTCATATTATAAGCTGATCAATGATGTTGAAAGGTTTTTAAGAATATGGGGTATAAATGAGGTTTTGTGTGTTTTTGATGATGCAGATTTACTTTTTACTTTTTAGTATATGTTTTAAATTATTTGTTGTTGAGGTAAAAGGATACAGGTAACAATGGTGTTGTAAAATCCTGAATTTAATGTAACAATAAAGATCTGTTCAACCTCTCTCTCTCTCTCTCTCTCTCTCTCTCTCTCTCTCTCTCTCTCTCTCTCTCTCTCTCGCAAACACATTGACAGCGGACCAGTCTGTGTATTGAATGGTTAGTATCGTAAACAGCGCTGCACAGATCCGACAGCTGTCAATGTGGAGACCCACCTTAAAAAAAGGTTAGCAAGCATGTAAGTAGCCTAGCTAATAAGGAACTATGTTAACCTTATCAAACCCCACCGTCGCGCTCACCACAGTTTTTTTTAACACTACGGTAACTCAGACTCGTCGGTAGAAAAACATCTTGTCTCCAATTTTTGTTCAACGGGTCTGGTAGTGTCACATTTCAGTTTGGCCAGGTAACATTTATTTTCTTTGACTGGCAAGAAATACCACTAGGTTATTTACTTGTTATGGATTGTCTCTGCAAGTCTGCCGGAAGTTAAGTTTGGGCCAAATTAATGCACATGCGCAGTATCGTTTGTTTATGTTGTCACTGCTGAAAGCGTCTGTAGCCCGTCACAGTGCATGCGTTTTCCTATGGCATTTCCCCGTTGAAGCTCGGCGTCCATTGACTTCAATGGGGCTGCTTTGAACAGTTTTTTTCAGTGCTGTTAAACTAGACGGTCATTGGATAAATGCTGCGATTATGTCCCGCCCACGGACGCCGGGCGTCTCTGGGTTTAATAGGGAAGTGGGCTGGCCTGGCGTCCGGGCGTCCGCGTGATGATTGGAGGATTGCATCTCCTTTTGATTGACAGCGATTTCACCCAATAAAAAAATCGCTGACGCGGAAGCTAGTTTAAAGACTTCGTGCTCAGTCTCGTCGCGAATTTTGTGTGTATTTTACTCGAAAGACGAACTACTGTAACATATTTCTTAGTATTTGCAATTTTCATCAGATATTTCACAGTTCAACCTAATTCCCACATTTCTTCCGTCGATGTCAGGTGTCTTGTTGTTACATGTGCGGGCGTGGTGTTTGAATCACGGCACATCTGTCTAGTTTGGTTTCACTTTTGTGTTGGGATTCGGACATGCATTCTCCGCGTGTTTGTTTTCGGTTGTGAGTGCACAGGATGACCTTATGGTCGTACTCATGCGTAACGTTAGCGTTCTGTCTTGTCGTGTTCGCTCTGTTCAGTGTGTTGTGTATTGTGTGGCACATGGCTTGTGTTTACATCGGCCGCGTGCTTTCATGTCATGTTTTGTCTTGTGCTGTGTAGCTTGTGTTTTACACTAGCTGTGTGCTTTCATGTTGTCATGTTCTGTGTGAACACGTGTCTTATGAGTGTTCTCATCGTTCTTCAGGTCTCATTTTTTTTGAGCACAATTGCTTTTTAATTTGTTTTATTGGTCATGTGTTTTTGTCATGTTTGGTATGAGCACATGGCTTGTGCTTGTCATGTGTTTGTTGTGCCATATTTGCTTTCCTGTCATTGTGACTCCCATCTTGTTTCCTGATTATTAGTTATTTTGCCCCACCTTTCCTCCCTCGTTACCTGCCTTTTTTTCTCCCAATTTATTCCCCTTGTTTGTTTTTTGTTTGTTTTTATCAATAAAATAAAGCCCATCAACTCTGCATCGAGTCCTCGCTCTTTTCACCATCCCCACACCTGACAGTTGAGTTTAAAAAAAAAGAAGAAGAAAAAAGAGCTTCCCCTCTTTGAAAGACCAGCAGCCGCCACTGGATCAGATGCAGCGCTCACAGTGGTAGGCTTAGGAATAGAGCTCACAGACACTATAGGCTCAAGACAAGACATGACGGGCACATCGAGGATCTTGACAAGCTTGGCAAAGTAGTCTGCTAGAGTCTCAGCAGCAACAATGATAGGCATCCTCTTACGAGCAGACACCGCTTGCAGGACTGCTTCTGCAGCTTGATCGGCCGCAGCTCTCACAGAAGCAGATTCTGTAACCGGGCAACCAGCTGCGGGAGCGGGCTCATGGACGGCACCTGCTGGAGCGGGCTCATGGACGGCACCTGCTGGAGCGGGCTCATGGACGGCACCTGCTGGAGCGGGCTCATGGACGGCGCCTGCTGGAGGCTGGAAAGCCTTCACAGACTCAGGAGGAGATGGCGGACCAGATGCTCCCCTCTTCTTCCTCTTGGGTCGCAGAGCAGAGGCCGTAGCCGGGCTTGTGACCGGTTGGGGAAGCACAGCAGGAAGTGTGGTCTCAGAGGAAGAGGACTCCGAAGTAGACTCCCACGACAGCCGTCTCTCTCGTTTGCCATGGAGATCGGTGGGTGCAGATGATGCCTCGGGAATCGAAATGGAGGGAGCCTGGTCTCCAAGCGCAACGATAGCTAAGACACGACCCTCCTGGATCACTGGCAGCGCGGTAGGAGGTCTCGCGGACAAAGCTTGCAGCTCCTCCCGGGAAAAACGATCCCAGAGTTGGGCGTAGTTCCTCAGGACCCACTCACTCTGGGAGGGCAAAGGAAGCTCGCCCCTCTCACTGCTGGTGGGAGCCGACAACCAGCATTGTCTACGGATCTCAGACTGACGGAGGAGCAGGGAGAACATACTGTCTGCTGGGTTCAGTTTTGGGCAGTTCATTCTGTTATGAGGATAACAGATGAACCCAAACGCAGACAGTATGCTAACACACAAGGTTTATTATAACAGAAAACAGGGGAAAACAAAACCCACAAGGGGGCAAAACAGAGACAATACAAACGAGGGACAACTAAACTAGATAACACTTGACAAAAAACTAGACTATTAACAAACAGAAAATACACAACATTCTTCTGAGACAAGATACTCACAGGAAGAATCTCACAAAGTGACAAAGTTTTACAATGAACTGGCACAGGACAGCAAACACAAGGGGATTATAAAGGGAGAAACTAATGAGGGGAACAGGTGACACAGACTAAGTAATAATGACAGGATGAGGATAACAAGGGGGCGGGGTCTTAAACAAGACAACACAAGCACATGGCCCAAACAACAGGCCATGCGCTTGCACACAAAACATGGTTCTGCCATGATCCTGCCACAAGACTAGAAAAGTCAATGACATGATGGAAGAATCATGACATAGGTATCGTATAGAAATATTTTCATTTATTACAATTCTGGTGTTTATTTTCTGTGTTTGATTGGCTTATTTGAAACAACATGAAAAGAACATTAAAGAGACATAAAACTTTTATTGAATATTATATAGACAAAGTACGAATTTAGATTTTACAAATGCCTCGTAACATCATTAAAGCACACTAAAAAACCACAACCTTTTTGTCACATAGCATTGCGTCTGATTGGTTACTGTAGACTTAAAGAAGCTCCACATAATTAGCAGGAAACATTCCATTGTGCCCATCAGGACCGTAGCCCCTCCACCAGCCCTCATCGATCATCTCGATCCCTGTGATGATATCATCCGGGTCAAAGGAGATCTCAGTGTCATCCGCTAAATGGGGAGAAAATGTAACGCATTAATTGATACGTTTTCAACACCATATCTTCATTGATCATAAAAGAGTATGGAATATTCTTAAGTTCTAAATGTACAAAAATATCGTAAATGGCCACTTTAGTGAATCACTAGTTTTTTTTGTTGTTGTTATTGACGCTTTAACCAGGCTATTTGTATATTTCATGCCTCATTGATATAATTATTATTATCATCATTTTTATTTTATTTTGTTTAACGGGGACCATACAGTCAAACATACTTACAATACAAAGCCTGTAACTGATGCACAGCATATAGTGTTTGTAGCTAATGCTAATTTTCAACATTGGTTGGGCATTTCTAAGAACATTATAAATAGGTACGTATACAAATAGAAAACATTCACAGTTCTTCAAACACACACACACAAAGAAAAATAACAATAGTTAAAAATGGTTACAGTTTTGGTTTGCCTTTAGCCACAATCCTGGAAGTTAACTTTTTAAAGTCAGATATGACCTTAATGTCAGATGGTAATGAATTCCAGAGTCTAGAGCTCTTAAAGGGATACTTCACCTCTGGGAAGTTGAATGTGTATTTAATATTGGTCATTTATATAGTAGAAATGTGAAAGTATTTTTGAAATTTAAGCATTCTAGATTGAGAAAAGGCAGAAAATGTATTTTTCACTCATGGCTGAAAGACGACAACTCCCAGAATGCACTTGCTTTGCTGCCCTTACGAGGCCACTCCCAAACCATGCCTACCGGTTACAGGCAGCAGAATCCAAAAAATGGATACAACTATGCTTTCTCTGATACATCATGAGTTATTTGATATATTTCCATCGAAATGGTGCTAAATTGCATTGTACCGGGGTGTACTAGCCTAATGTATACTGTATAACACAACTTTCACATTAAAAATATGATGGCAGGACAATGTCAACAGACTAGCTTAGTAGCTCTGCTTATGAACATGCTAATACATTATCTAGGCTAATCCATACTCTACTAACACTAAATGTTTATACAAAAGAACCACAACCAATGTGAGTTATAACTTTTAATTAAAAAATAATTCATATTAACACTTTTACACTCAAAGCTCTGCGGATTCAGCGATCTCAACAAAAGAAAATGGCATCGCTGAGATTCGCGACAGAAATAGGACTCTATATCTGTTTCCATAGGCACACAGCAAAAGCACTCACACCACCAGTCCGCCCCAGCTCAGGCCTCGCTCTGGCCACCTCTTGTTCCTCCATCTCCCGCAACTGTTTAACGCTGTATTGCGGCTCGTACAGGTAGCCGCGAGCATCAGCTTCTCCCCCGCCCCACCTCGAGTCTGTCTCGCTCTGGCCGCCTCTTGTTCCTCCATCTCCAGCAACTGTTTATCACTGTTTATCGCTGTATTGCGGCTCGTACAGGTAGCCGTAAGCATCAGATTCTTCCCCACCCCACCTTGAGTCTGTCTCGCTCTGGCCGCCTCTTGTTCCTCCATCTCCCACAACTGTTTATCGCTGTATTGTGGCTCGTACAGGTAGCCGCGAGCATCACATTCTCCCCCGCCCTACCTCGAGTCTGTCTCACTCCGGCCGCCTCTTGTTCCTCAATCTCCCCCAACTGTTTATCACTGTTTATCGCTGTATTACGGCTCGTACAGGTAGCCACGAGCATTAGATTCTCCCCCGCCCCACCTCGAGTCTGTCTCGCTCTGGCCGCCTCTTGTTCCACCATCTCCCGCAACTGTTTATCGCTGTATTGCAGCTCGTACAGGTAGCCGCGAGCATCAGATTCTCCCCCGCCCCACCTCGAGTCTGTCTCGCTCTGGCCGCCTCTTGTTCCTCCATCTCCAGCAACTGTTTATCACTGTTTATCGCTGTATTGCGGCTCGTACAGGTAGCCACGAGCATCAGATTCTCCCCCGCCCCAGCTCGAGTCTGTCTCACTCCGGCCGCCTCTTGTTCCTCCATCTCCCCGAACTGTTTATCACTGTATTGCAGCTCGTACAGGTAGCCACGAGCATCAGATTCTCCCCCGCCCCACCTCGAGTCTGTCTTGCTCTGGCCGCCTCTTGTTCCTCCATCTCCAGCAACTGTTTATCACTGTTTATCGCTGTATTACGGCTCGTACAGGTAGCCGCGAGCATCAGATTCTCCCCGCCCGACCTCGAGTCTGTCTTGCTCTGGCCGCCTCTTGTTCCTCCATCTCCAGCAACTGTTTATCACTGTTTATCGTTGTATTGCAGCTCGTACAGGTAGCCGCGAGCATCAGATTCTCCCCGCCCGACCTCGAGTCTGTCTTGCTCTGGCCGCCTCTTGTTCCTCCATCTCCAGCAACTGTTTATCACTGTTTATCGCTGTATTACGGCTCGTACAGGTAGCCGTGAGCATCAGATTCTCCCCCGCCCCACCTCGAGTCTGTCTTGCTCTGGCCGCCTCTTGTTCCTCCATCTCCAGCAACTGTTTATCACTGTTTATCGCTGTATTACGACTTGTACAGGTAGCCGCGAGCATCAGATTCTCCCCGCCCGACCTCGAGTCTGTCTCGCTCCGGCCGCCTCTTGTTCCTCCATCTCCAGCAACTGTTTATCACTGTTTATCGTTGTATTGCAGCTCGTACAGGTAGCCGCGAGCATCAGATTCTCGCCCGCCCCAGCTCGAGTTTGGCGGGCTCAGGTCTCGCTCCGGCCGCCTCTTGTTCCTCCATCTCCAGCAACTGTTTATCGCTGTATTACGGCTTGTACAGGTAGCCGCAAGCATCAGATTCTCCCCCGACCCACTTCGAGTCTGTCTTGCTCTGGCCGCCTCCCCCGACCCACTTCGAGTCTGTCTTGCTCTGGCCACCTATTGTTCCTCCATCTCCAGCAACTGTGTATCACTGTTTATTGCTGTATTGCGGCTCGTACAGCTAGCCGCAAGCATCAGATTCTCGCCCGCCCCAGCTTGAGTCTGTCTCACTCCGGCCGCCTCTTGTTCCTCCATCTCTCGCAACTGTTTATCACTGTTTATCGCTGTATTACGGCTCGTACAGGTAGCCACGAGCATCAGATTCTCCCCCGCCCCACATCGAATCTGTCTCGCTCTGGCCGCCTCTTGTTCCTCCATCTCCCGCAACTGTTTATCACTGTATTGCGGCTCGTACAGGTAGCCGCAAGCATCAAATTCTCCCCCGCCTGACCTCGAGTCTGTCTCGCTCCGGCCGCCTCTTGTTCCTCCATCTCCAGCAACTTTTTATCACTGTTTATCGTTGTATTGCAGCTTGTACAGGTAGCCGCGAGCATCAGATTCTTGCCTGCCCCAGCTCGAGTTTGGCGGGCTCAGGTCTCGCTCCGGCCGCCTCTTGTTCCTCCATCTCCAGCAACTGTTTATCACTGTTTATCGCTGTATTGCGGCTTGTACAGGTAGCCGCAAGCATCAGATTCTCCCCCGCCTTAGCTCGAGTCTGTCTCGCTCCGGCTGCCTCTTGTTCCTCCATCTCCCGCAACTGTTTTCGCTGTACTGCGGCTCGTACAGGTAGCCGCGAGCATCAGATTCTCGCCCGCCCCAGCTCGAGTTTGGCGGGCTCAGGTCTCGCTCCGGCCGCCTCTTGTTCCTCTATCTCCCGCAACTGCCTTGTACAGGTAGCCGCGAGCATCAGATTCTCGCAACAGATCTTCGAAATCCCCTTCTGCCATTTCAACTTCAAAACTATCTTCCACCATCGTGATTAGCCTACTATACAAACTTTCTACACAGACCAAGAGGCAAGAGCCCGTTAGCTTAGCTTCTACAGAAAGATGGCTGACACGATCTTTACATTCTGTGAGTCTTTACGTCTGTAGTCTTTAGCCTCTGGCCCAAAAATCCTCAGATGATGCAAAACGACGTTTTTTGCGTCATCGGAGGATTTTTTCCAGACTAAAAATTTATTTTTCTCTCATTTCAGGGGGATATGAGGGGGGCAAGCACAGTAATTCGAAAATACTACTGGTTTTCTACTGATACAAAGCTTAATGCTAAATCCTGAAGTCTGTGCGAAGCTTGTGCTATATGGGATCATTAGAGCAATAGCTCCAGTCCAGATATTACAGCTCATTGCAGAGATCAAGACTTTACTGCATATTGATCATTTATTGCATGATTTTTTAGATAATACAGCAAAATTCAAGCACTCACCAGCTTGGTAGTCATATAATGCTCTTGCACAGATGTTCTGGTTATGGCCAGTCTCATCTTCGCCAGCAGAGGTTTGGAAATACTTCAAATAATAGATTTTGGAGACACAATCATTTATTATAATACACAATATCTTAAACCCAGTTAAATCATTATAATTACTACAGAAAGGTATTCTTAAAAATGTCAAAAGAGGTCACGGTCTCATGGTTTGGATGATGCATATGACAAGGTACCAACCTGGCCAACTTCATCATAGAGATTTTGATGTAAGGGGACGTTCATATAGATGCTGTTTACATCTTCATTTTCTCGGTTTCCGGCAACGGCGCTCAGTTCTTCCTCATCTGAATCTGCACCAGGATACACAGTAAGTCAGATTTCAGACATAAATATGGCACTGACTGACGTTAATAAGCATTATTGAGAGAAAATATACCATCCCATTCATTTTCAAATTCCTCAGCTTGTTCCGATACAAATGGATCATCGGAGAAGGGGTCTAAAAGGCAAAAATAAGGCAACTTATAACTTACTGTCATAAAAAGAGACACATTAAAGGAATGTTGCTTTTATTCACCTGCATCTTTTCCGGGGAAAGCCGGTGTTTCATGCACAGGAGAGAAGACTGGTACATGTGAAACTGAGGTGAGGCGAACTGGAGACTTGCTCTCACTCTGAGGGTTTTCTGCACTGACTGCTGACTGGGACAAAAATGGGCTTCTCAGCTGACCTGAGGGGAAAATACACAAGTAATGAAATAATATTGAGATTAATGGCTTGAAACTGCATGTTTATAAGATTTTGTCGGATGTTCTGTGTGATGAACTGTTAGATAAGAGTTTTTTGTACCTGGTCGAGAAGGTGAAGAGGGCGCTGCACTTTCGACCAAACTTCTCTCCGTCTTCATGAACAGCTCCCTGGGATTGATGGAACGCTGAGAGATGATTGACGCCGCCTCCTGGAAAAAAGGTAGAACGAATATGCTATTTTTATGTCTAATATGACCTTACTTTCTTACTGGTCTTACTTTATTTTCAACAAAATATAGAAGAAAATATTAGAATTCCAGAAGTAAAATCCCATTTCCCAATTTTCTCCCAATTCAGAAATTAATACTTTTATTCAGCAAGGATGCATTAAATTGATTAAAAAGTGACATTAAAGATATTAATAATGTTACAAAAGATTTCTATTTCAAATAAATGCAGTTTTTTTCAAAAAAAATAACTTTCTATTCATAAAAAAAAATCCATATTCATATTTATATTTATTATACTATTGTGTGAATCTATTATCTTTCCCAACGCTTTATTGGAAGTGTAGGTCCTTTGATCAGATGATTTTCACATACTTTTTGCTTCAAACCAGTGATTCATCTGAGGATTTGTAAATGACTTAGAACTATTTACTAAAAATCTTTTGAAATCTCTATGGAGAAAATCAATAAATAATAGTCTTCAAGGTCCAAGGACACTCATTATGGGCACTCTTAGTTGTGCTATATTTATTTAGACTCACATTGGCCTTCTGCACAGACTCAGATCGCAATATTCCTGCTTTCACAGGAGACTGGTGTTCCTTCTCCACTTTCTCCTTAACAACAAATGAGGCAATCAAGAGTAACTAACATTTCATTATAAATACAGTATACCACACACACACACACACACACACACACATACATATTTATATGATTTTAAAATGTTCAGATTCATTGCAGGAAAGATAATTTTACCCATTTTTCTTTTTCGTGTTCTTTATTTGCTGCCTCCTGTTTCTTTTCATACAGCCTGTGAGACAACAAGTAGGTAGTTATTTACTTATTCACTCTCATATATGCACAAACAGTGATTAACTGTCTAACAACTCTGAATTCAATGACGTCAAGGCTTTAATGTGATTGGCTATCAAGGCACACATGATCAAAGTTAGCTCTCTCCAATAGTAGAACTATGGACCCTCTGATCTCCCAAGTAATAAGACCATTGCTGTGTCCCAATTCGCCTACTTATACTATGCCCTAAAAGTATGTACTTTTTTTTGTGAAGAAACAGTACATACTTTTGAGTGTGTAGCAAAATAGTAGGCAAGCATTGGGAAATACTACTTCGTCATCTTTAACGGACAGATCTGTCACGTGCATCCTGTCACCGTAAACTGCCCTGTCAATCATCTCCTCACAGTTAAAGAGCCCCTATCATAGCATTTGAAATGTTCCTATTTTTGTTTTTGGAGTTCCCAAAAACAGTTTAACGTGCATGCAAGGATAAAAAAACACTTTATTTGTCTTATAATAGGCATTTATTTTTACCCGATTTGCTCAACGACTCCCAAATGATTCGTTCGACGATTCATTTTCCCAAACACCTCCTTTGAGTGACGCAAATCTGCGGCGACTGGTCAAATGACCCAGTCAGTTGTTATTGGTAAACCGTAGGCAGAGATTGTCGGCAACGGAACGCCCATAACCAGGATTATAGCTTGTCAAGTGTTGAAAATTCTATATAGTGTTTGAACAAACGTGTCAGAAAAAGTGCACTTTCCACACGGTCCCTTACTCGCATGTCCGTCAAGAGCGAGCTTTCCCGGCGAAACTCACATTGCGGCGGCTTTTGAGGGGCAGTGCTTATTATATAGAGCAAAGTCATATTTGGCTAAGTCGTTTAGGATGTAATTGCCATTTTTCAATGAATGTCTGGTGAATATCAAAAACGAAACTTAACTTTACCCCGCTTAGAAGCTGGAGTGTACACAACACAATATAACTATATTGTGCATGCTAAAGAAAACATAACAGCTAACATTATTAAATAATACTTAACAGATTGTGATTCGGAGGAGGACGAACCTGATCCATATACACTGGATACTGAGCCCTCCTTCGAGAACAACCGGCTGCGAATCCACATATGAATTCATTTATATTTTTTAATGATTCGTCATTAAAATGATGAGAACACAAGGTTCGGGCTATACTGTTGTGGTATCCTTGCAAATATGAACTCTGACCACTGATTCTTCACATGCTCGTCCCTGGGCAATGAAAACAAGTGGCTGAACTGTCTTTGCAATGTAGAACTCGGCGTCTTCTCGACATGACCCTATTCAGCTGAAGTATTTGAATGTGTTCTAGACGTCACTTCAAGTTTACACTTCCCTGTCAGTTGTTGGGAGCGGCCAATGAGCTAATGTTTTGTATCTACGTCACGACGAAACAGCTAATGACTCGTTTCAAAAACAATTCATTTCATAGACTCAGAGTCGACTTTCACTTTTGAAAGACAATAACTTTATATATGGTGCACTTTCAGATATAAATCTTTGCAGGATGTTTTCATTCCCTGAGAGCTATATTCCACACTACATGAACAGTCATTTTCAAAAATCCATGATAGGTCTCTTTAAGATCCTCTATTCAATCTAATTTAACTTCCTACCGTTTCGGAGAGAAATGTTGTAGCACATTGATCTGCCAGTCGAGGGTATTTCACACGGAGACTCTCCTCATGTGTTTGCAATTTGAATATAATGATGTATTTGAAAGTTAATAGCTAAACATATCTTTACAAAAGTTCACAATGCTACTGCAGATTAAATATAATGTGAACAAACATTGAATCAATTCATTTTTGTCAGGCTAGATACTGATAATAAATCACTCAAACTCCGTTATCTAAACCTCTCTACATAATCGCCGGACTCGCGACGTCCTCCATGTCAGTAGTTTTTTTTTTAACACTTTTCACTTGTGGTTGTAGTTCTAATCGAATCCTTGTCCAACAGGGCAATTTTAGGTGTCAGAGTTTACATCGATAGGGTTACATTGATCTGCACTTCGAATTCTGACCGGAAATAGTAGACCATCCGGGTCTCTTTGGAACACTCATTTCAACACACTACGATTTGGGACGTACTTCTATTAATTCAATTTTCTAGTAAATTCTAGTAATTCTATTTTCGAATAGTATTTAGGATGGATAGTATGCCAATTGGGATGGAGCAAAATCGCACTTTATACCCTTAAATATAGGGCTATTTGACGGAACAGCAATTTGTAGTGGTATCTGAAACCAAGCGCTTTTCACAATACATAGTGGACGTTATCAAATTCACTCATTAAATCCCACAATGCACTGCAATAATGAGTGTATAACCGATGTACACTCAACGGCTAGAAAATACCCATAATACTGTGAAGGTCACGCCGAATTAATTCCTGTGTCTGACAAGAAGATGGCGCCGCAGCTCAATCATTTCATTTTCCAAACCTCTGGTCCAATGTGGCAACCTTAATAATATCATACAGGTATAAATGCCTTTGCAATTGGTTATAAGATTGTTTAATTAAGGTTTATACATAGTTTCCATGACAGAGATCAAGATATTTTCATTGCAACTAGAGCTTCCAATTTGCTAGTTTCTAATGATTATTAAACCGCAAGCACAAACTATGCAGAACCGGCAGCCCTTCCGGCGCACTCAGTGTCCAAATTCGTTTTCATTCACTCCTTCAAGTGAACTATATAAGTGATCTAATGTAGGGAACAGTGAGTGAGGGTATAGGGGGCGATATTTTGGACACAGCCCATTTCTGCTAGTAATCCCTTGATTAGCTGGTTCAGGCGTGTTTAATTGGGGTTAGGGGTAATGTATATATGACAGTGGCCCTCCAGGAGCAGGATTGCACACCCCTGATATACACAGTTCAAAAGTTTGGGGTCGGTAAGATATTTTTTTTTAATGCTTTTGAAAGAAGTCTCTTATGCTCACCAAGGATGATCAAAAATAAGTAATATTGTGAAATAATATAATAACTGTTTGTACTCTGTTAAATAACTGTTTGTATACTTCACATGATACTTCATAAATCATTCTAATATGCTGATTTGCTGCTTAATAAACATTTCTGATTATTATCAATGTTGAAAACGGTTGTGCTACTATTTTTGTGGAAACTGTGATGCATTTTATTTCAGAATTCTTTGAAGAATAACTGCATTTATTCGAATAAAAAACACATTAAAAATGACTTTACTGTCACTTTTGATCCAGTTAAAGGTACAATACGCAGGGTTTTTGCAGTAAAATATAAAAAAAAAACTAGGACAATGTTATATATTTGGTTTAGTTGATTACTTACAATATCCCAAATGTTTCCAACTATTTGTAAATCGTGAGAAAATTGCGATTTTAACCAAGGAAACGGGGCGTGTGAGCAGGGGTGAGGAGTCGCCAGTCAATGGCATCATATACATGTTACCTCCAGTTTCCGCCAGGTTTGACATCGTACTGCAATAGTAACCATGGCGACAGATGTTGACAATTGGGTCGGTCATGCCCGTTATGCCTAGAAGGATGCTCACACTGTTGTTGTTTTGTTCAAACATTATGGACCATGGCAAGCAGACTTTGAGACAAAAAGAGGACTAAAACGAAGATCAACATCTTTCGAAATGCCGAGGGCTCCACGTTCGCAACTAACTTTGATTTGACAGAGGTGCGTGTTGCATGTTACTTTATTAAACAGGTGAGCAAATGTTAAGCATGGTGAGCAAGCTAATCAATGTTATTTAGTTCAACATGATAAAAAGTTAAAGTAGCTTAGTCTCATACAGCTGACAAACAACCTAACTAACAACATTCAACACACTCAAATGCAGTTTAGTGTGATAGTGTAACTGTTAGAGCAAGTGAAGTAGTGCTGCATTACCTCAAGTATAATTCGTCTAATAAACTGACCTCTGTGAGTAATTGAGCACTTGCGTGTAGTTTGGTAGAATTAAATGTCATTATTCCTTTATATCCACGGTACTCGAGTTATATCCACTGGTATACGCCTAGCAATTACGCCCTACTTCATACCACAGAACATGTATTCACTCATCCATAAAAGATCCATTAGCTTGACGACAAGATCCATAATTCCGCTTAATGCAGAATATACATCATCAATATACACCTTCGTTATTTTAAGAGGTTAGCGACCTCAATTTTAGCGATTTTTAGGCGAAAAATCTTGCATATTGTACCTTTAATGTGTCCTTGATGAATAAAAGTGTACAAATCTTTCTGACCCCAAACTTTTGAACATCAGTGTAGATTCTATTTGATGATATGAATGGGACAAACACAAAATCACCTCTGTTGGTTGATCTCTTTCTCTCTCTCTCTCTGCCTTCGCTCTCGCTCTTCTGCCGCTCTAGCCTCTTGTTCCCTCTGCTCTTTCTCCAGACGCTGCCTCTCCTCATTTGCTTTCCTGCGCTCCTCCAGCCGGCGGTTCTTTTCATCTTGCTGATAAAGAGGATGGGAGAGAATGTGTCAAGAGCAGATGAGAAGATAAACAAATTGCGTTTTACTGTGACGTTTCCTCACCTCAGCCTGAGCCCAGAAGTTTTCTCTTATCGTAGCTTGGATTTCATCTAAAGCACTGATCTTTTTATAGACCGAACCCTGTGAGAACAGAGGCATTGGAGTAATTCAGAAGGCAAACATGCAGATTTTCAAAGCCCCTTTAAATAAGAGATATGGACATAATTCATCAGTTCACTGACCACACGTCCAATAAGTTCAGTATTATTGTTCTGGATTGACTCTTTGTGGATGTTGTAGTTGACGTCCGAGTCCTTGGCTACCTTCTCCATGATGGCAGCCGGTTCAACATCATCATCTGATCGAGCGCTGCTGGTTACATGGGCACCCTTTTATAAAATACACATTCAAAATTTAAAATGAAGAATTATATTTTGCCCATCTCTAATATATGGAAGCTAGTTCTCCGGCAAGGACTGAGAAAATTTAAAACATAATTCTGACTTTTTATCTCACAATTCTGACATTTGACATGATGCTTTATATGATGAACAGATTGAATTTTTAACATTCTAACATTTTTTTAACATTTTTTTAACATTCATCAACTCACTCATCAGTCGTGGTAAACAAAAGCTCAAGCATGTTCACTTCACGTGCAAGAATTCATGATGCACCTCGAAGTTTGTTCATTAACTCTCTGGACTATGCATTATTGTGGAGCGGGTCCCAGTTTACAGTGGGAGTGGTAGATGGTGGCCACTTGAGACAAGCTCCAATGGCCACGGAGCTTCACCAGCAATTTCCATCTGTGCCCACTCTACTGCTGAATACCCCAGTGCTTACAATGTTAGCCAGAACTGTCATGTCAAAGCCAGCAGTAGCTGTTGCAGTCATGTTAGAGCCGCCAGTCACCAATATAATCACGCCAACTGCCAGCACAACCTTGCCTGAATTTTCGGTGGTCAAGATCAACAATCCAAGGCCTCTTATGGTTAAAAAATCCTTTCAGTCTTTAGCCGTCATGGACCCCATTCCTGTGTTCCCAGGTGTCGTTGATACAGCGATTGAGGATGCCAAAGCTTTTTATCCACGTTGGGGCTTGATATCCAAGTTGGCAGATCTACCTCTGAGAATGGTCAGAACAGCAGGCTTCTCAAACCCGCTTTCATAGAATATTTCTGCTGACGCTTCTCTAATCCCAGAGTTCATCCCATCTTCCTCGGTGCTTTCAGTGATGGCAGTGGCGCTGTGGTGTGTTTAGTCGACGTTTGTTAAAATTACTTTGAATATGACAGTTGCACATAATTCAAAGGGTGTTCCAGTCCATGAATCTGTTCCTGAGTTTCTTCCTGAACCAGGATGCAGATCTTTCTCTGATTAGATTCCTGTGTTCCCGGTCAGCCCTGCCGAGCCTGACGTCCTTCACGTCAGCCCTGCCGAGCCTGAGTTGGTACACACATCACATCTGCCCAGCCAGAGAGTGCTCGCGTGACGATTGCCCAGCCAGAGAGTGCTCGCGTGACGATTGCCCAGCCAGAGAGGGTTTGCGTCACATCTGCCCAGCCAGAGAGGGCTCGCGTCACGTCTGCCCAGCCGGAGAGTGCTCACGTCTTGTGTCATGTCTGCCCAGCCAGAGAGTGCTCGCGTCACATCTGCCCAGCCAGAGAGGGCTTGTGTCACGTCTGCCCAGCCAGATAGTGCTCGCGTCACGTCTGCCCAGCCAGCGAGTGCTCGCGTCACGTCTGCACAGCCAGAGAGTGCTCGCGTCATGTCTGCCCAGCCAGAGAGGACTCGCGTCACGTCTGCCCAGCTAGATAGCTCGCGTCACATCTGCCCAGCCAGATAGTGCTCGCGTCACGTCTGCCCAGCCAGAGAGTGCTCGCGTCAAGTCTGCACAGCCAGAGAGTGCTCGCGTCACGTCTGCCCAGCCAGAGAGTGCTCGCGTCACGTCTGCACAGCCAGAGAGTGCTCGCGTCATGTCTGCACAGCCAGAGAGTGCTCGCGTCACGTCTGCCCAGCCAGAGAGTGCTCGCGTCACGTCTGCACAGCCAGAGAGTGCTCGCGTCATGTCTGCCCAGCCAGAGAGGGCTCGCGTCACGTCTGCCCAGCTAGAGAGTGCTTGAGTCACATCTGCCCAGCCAGAGAGTGCTTGAGTCACATCTGCCCAGCCAGAGAGGGCTCGCGTCACGTCTGCACAGCCAGAGAGTGCTCGCGTCATGTCTGCCCAGCCAGAGAGTGCTCGCGTCATGTCTGACCAGCCAGAGAGGGCTCGCGTCACGTCTGCCCAGCTAGATAGCTCGCGTCACATCTGCCCAGCCAGAGAGTGCTTGAGTCACATCTGCCCAGCCAGAGAGTGCTTGAGTCACATCTGCCCAGCCAAAGAGTGCTCGCGTCACATCTGCCCAGCCAGAGAGAGCTTGCGTCACGTCTGCCCAGCCAGAGAGGGCTCGCGTCACGTCTGCCCAGCCAGAGAGTGCTTGAGTCACATCTGCCCAGCCAGAGAGGGCTCGCGTCACATCTGCCCAGCCAAAGAGTGCTCGCGTCACATCTGCCCAGCCAGAGAGAGCTTTCGTCACGTCTGCCCAGCCAGAGAGAGCTTGCATCACGTCTGCCCAGCCAGAGAGGGCTCGCGTCACGTCTGCCGAGTCAGTGTCTCCAGACAAGATGGGCAACGCAACGCTCTCTCTGCCTGAGCCGGTGTCGCCCGTTACTGTTCCCGAGCCGCCTGAAAGGCCGTCTACTCCCTGGCTGCCCTGCAGCCTTGAACCCTGGTCCCCAAAAGGGTCATCTCTGCCATGGCTGCCTGCACAGCCTGTTACACCCTGGTTGCCTGTCCTGCCACAGTCTTCAGGTCCTCTTCCCCTCAATGGTCCTGGCCCACCTTACCGCCTCCGCTCCACCTTCCACCTGTTTTTGAGTTAATGGAAGCCGCTACTTTGAGGGGGGGCCTATGTTACATCTGTCAACTGCAGATGCCATCATGTGCCAACTGATGGCATCCTAGTCCCTCACCATTTACATGAGACTCTGTTTTTCCTGGACTTCATTTCCCAGAATCCGTTGCTCATTAGTTTCTGTTTCAGCTGTGTCTGGTTTCATTTGATCATCACCCTGTCTATTTCAATGCCCTTTGCCTTCATTCAGGATGGAGTCTTGTTTTCTTGTTTGGTTTACACTCTGTCAGTATGTTGAGCAGCTACCTGTTTCTTGATATTTGTCTTTTCCTGTGTTTTGGATTTCTTATTCCTGTCATCTTTTGTGGATTGGATTTTGTATTTCGGACTGGATACATGTGCTTAACCCTCTACCTGGTATGGACTATGACCTTGGATTACATTTAACAATAAACTGCTTTTGGATTTTCACTCTGTCAGGTGAATGCTGTCTCACCACCACAACCAAATCATTACAATTCTCTATTCTAACTTGCGCGGGTCTAAAATAATAGCTGCAGTTATTAGTTTGACCGCACAATGTTGCCGTTCTCATGATGTCTCTTTATTCAGCAAGGATGCATTAAATTGATCAAAAGTGGCAGTAAAGATATTAATACTGTTGTAAAATATTTCTATTTAAAATAAATGCTTTTTAAAACAAGAATTACGATAAACAGTGTATCAGTTTGCACAAAAATATTAAGCAGCACAACTGTTTTTAACATTGATAATAAGAAATTATTGAGCAGCAAATCAGCATAAGAATGATTTCTGAAGGATCATGTGACACTGAAGACTGGAGAAATTATGCTGAAAATTCCGCTTTGCATCACTGGAATAAATTACTTTTAATGTATATAAATTTTAATGTATATAAATAGAAAACCAATAAACTCATGATCATTTATATTATTGCTGTTTTTTATGTATTTTGATCAAATAAATGCAGCCTAGGTGAGTATAAGAGACTTATTTCAAAAACACTATATTCTGTATATATTTTAAGAATTTTGCAATAAACCTGAAATATACTGTTTTGTGATTATAACTAGTTACCAGAAGTCAATGTTTTTTGTAAAATATTATAATATTGTTTTATTTATTACATCTTTCCCAACGCTTTATTGGAAGTTCCTTTGATCAGATGATTTTTACTTTTTGCTTCGAACCAGTGATTCATCTGAGGATTTGTAAATGACTTAGAACTCTTTACTAAAAATCTTTTGAAATCTCTATGGAGAAAATCAATAAATAATAGTCTTCAACGTCCAAGGACACTCATTATGGGCGCTCTCTGTTGTGCTATATTTATTTAGACTCACATTGGCCTTCTGCACAGACTCAGATCCCAATATTCCTGCTTTCACAGGAGACTGGTGTTCCTTCTCCACTTTCTCCTTAACAACAAATGAGGCAATCAAGAGTGACTAACAATTCATTATAAATACAGTATACACACACACAAACACACATATATATTTATATGAGATCATTTTACCCATTTTCCTTGTTCCTGTTCTTTATTTGCTGCCTCCTGTTTCTTTTCATACAGCCTGTGAGACACCAAGCAGGTATTTATTTAGTAGACATGTACATCCAAAGCAACTTTTAAGTATTTGGTGAACTATATACACCAGTGGTGTCCAAACTCAGTCCTGGAGGCCCACTGTCCTGCAGAGTTTAACTCTAACTTGCTTTAACACACCGGCCTGGAAGTTTGTAGTCAGCCTAGAAACGAAGCCACCCTCCAAGATTAGCAAAAAAACTGTAATGTATGCTAATGCTGCAGTATGCAGGGAAGGAGACCAGATCACTCCTTCAAGTGAACCATATTAGTGAACTAATGTAAGGAACAGTGAGTGAGGGTATAGTGGGGATATTTTGGACACAGCCCATTTCTGCTAGTAATCCATTGATTAGCTGGTTTCAGGCGTGTTTAATTGAGGTTGGGGGTTATGTATATATGACAGTGGCCCTCCAGGAGCAGGATTGCACACCCCTGATATACACAGTTCAAAGGTTTGGGGTCGGTAAGATTTTTTTAATGCTTTTGAAAGAAGTCTCATGCTCACCAAGGATGATCAAAAATACTTACTGTCTTCAGTGTGCTACAGTCTTCAGTGTCCCATGATCCTTCATTCTAATATGCTGATTTGCAGCTCAATAAACATTTCTGATTATTATCAATGATGAAAACGGTTGTGCTACTATTTTTGTGGGAACTGTGATACATTTTATTTCAGAATTCTTTGAAGAATAACTGCATTTATTCGAATAAAAAACACATTATAAATGACTGTCTTTACTGTCACTTTTGATCCATTTAATGTGTCCTTGCTGAAAAAAAAGTGTACAAATCTTTCTGACCCCAAACTTTTGAACATCAGTGTAGATTCTATTTGATGATATGAATGGGACAAACACAAAATCACCTCTGTTGGTTGATCTCTTTCTCTCTCTCTCTCTGCCTTCGCTCTCGCTCTTCTGCCGCTCTAGCCTCTTGTTCCCTCTGCTCTTTCTCCAGACGCTGCCTCTCCTCATTTGCTTTCCTGCGCTCCTCCAGCCGGCGGTTCTTTTCATCTTGCTGATAAAGAGGATGGGAGAGAATGTGTCAAGAGCAGATGAGAAGATAAACAAATTGCGTTTTACTGTGACGTTTCCTCACCTCAGCCTGAGCCCAGAAGTTTTCTCTTATCGTAGCTTGGATTTCATCTAAAGCACTGATCTTTTTATAGACCGAACCCTGTGAGAACAGAGGCATTGGAGTAATTCAGAAGGCAAACATGCAGATATTCAAAGCCCTTTAAATATGAGATATGGACGTAATTCATCAGTTCACTGACCACACGTCCAATAAGTTCAGTATTATTGTTCTGGATTGACTCTTTGTGGATGTTGTAGTTGACGCCCGAGGCCTTGGCCACCTTCTCCATGATGGCAGCCGGTTCAACATCATCATCTGATCGAGCGTTGATGGTCACATGGGCACCCTTTTATAAAATACACATTCAAAATTCAAAATGAAGAATTATATTTTGCCCATCTCTAATATATGGAAGCTAGTTCTCCGGCAAGGAATGAAAAAATAAAAAAGGGTAAATTGTGACTTTTTATCTCACAATTCTGCCATTTGACACAATTGCTTACATGATCATCATCAACTCACACATGTTGTGGTAAACAGAGGCTCAAGCATTTACACTTGACTTGCGCGAACCAATGAGGTTCATTCTCGTGTTACACAGCACATATGAGCTATACCTTTAATATCTTACAATTTTAAAGGAAAAAAGTGTGAGATGAAACGTTACAATTTGCTTTTCTTTCTTTTTTTATTCCATGGCACAATTAAGCTTACATACTAATGGACCCTAATGTAACAAAAATTTAACTAATTAAAGTAATGAACACATTTTATAGGCTCTAATTTGCACTCACCCTCAGAAAATTGGCCATTGAGTGAATATGATTGGCACAAACACCCTTTCTAACGTCCTTGACTCCCTCGCCCGTCTGAAACCAATTAATAGTATACAAAGATTATTTCTATAATGGATGTTGAGAATGGACATTTGGTTATTTGTGTTCTGTTCATACCCAGTTAATGAGCACAAACTTGGGGACTCCAGAACTGGGGTCCAGCACTTTACAGAAGGCGTACATGATTTTACCGCTGTTCAGTTCCTCCACCATTTCTTCAAGCCCACCATCTATGGCACATTTACAGGAAAACAAACAAGTAACAGCCAGGCATTGTTGACGGCTGACTCATTAAATAGGACAAAAAGAATGACATCACTCTGTTGGCATTCTTATCTGATTTTAAAGCATTCACTCACCTCCCTTTTCTGCAACCCGAATGTCATTACTGTTTCCTTCGTATGTGAACAACACCCTATAATCAACAAATATGGTTCATTTGTATGCAGGATCCTTCTCAAAATGAGTGAAGATAACCACTAAAACTGACAAGTTCTATTCAAGTTCTATCTATGATGCACAAAAATAGTTACAAAATACCCCCGTATACAGTTGTATTTTTTGAGCATATGAGTTATGTAAAATGCTACCTTGCAGGTCTCGAAAAGTAGCCTAATTTGTATGTTATGTAAAAGAGTAAAAGGACCTCGCTAATTTTTAATGTTATGAATCATATTTAGTATCGTAAATAAATATGAGGTTTAGCCTACAATTAATTAATTGTCATTCATTCATTCATTTATTTTCGATAATATGATTTGCGAATCTTAATACGTAGACTTCTTAACGTTACCAGTTTGTGTCCGTTTTCCCGTTCACCACGTCATTGTATGCGGCTGTAAGCGCGGGTCCGTTTTTACTCAGGTTTACTGCCATAGTGGGTCATGAAATTTGCAAGAACTTGTGGATAACTTCAAATGGAGATGTAATCATAACCCCGTCTTCCTCCTCATGTGAACCGTCGTGTTAAATACGCACCTCTCCGGTGAGATCAGGTTCTGCGAGTTTTTTGGGAATTGAAACGAGGAAGAGAAAGAACTTGTATTTTTCCAACAACAGTGTAAGTTAATAGCCCTAACTTATTTTTTTCTTTAAATAAACCAAATTATATGTTATATGTGGTTAGGCGAAATATATTACAGTATGTCTTTCTATCAATGTCAACAATTGGGAATCATTTTAGCGAATCGGTTTGTTCGGACAGTTTCCTTTCGCTGAAACAGTTAAAACGATTCACTGATACTTTTTAGTCAAAAGTGTAACACGCACACCATTTTAACTTTAAAACGATAGATTGGTTCAAATAAGTTGTTTTATTATTCAAACAGTAATGTAAACAATCTAAATGAATGGCAACGCAGACTTAGTTTTACTGCTAAACAAATTCACCATACAAACAATCGGTTGGACTGAATCACTTTAAAATAAACGTCTGTTCGCGAATCAAACACTTGCATATTGATCTGAAGGCATGTCAAGGAAGGTCTTGGAACTAGTTGGACTAGTAAAATCACATTTCTGTGAATCACATGAAGCATAGACTAAACATAATGAAATGCTTATGCTTTGCTTCGGAGTTTGTAGCTGTAAACTGACAGAGCAAGAGAAACTGGACGATCTGACATACCAATGTCATGTGTTGAACATTCTTTTGTACTAGCAGTTCATGTAAATGAACCATTATAATTCCAAAATTGCCAAAATTCAGCATATAATGGGAGTCATGCTGTGCTGTATTAGTGTAATTATAGATAATGGTGCCTCCATTTTGTATACCAAATGTTATATTTTTCCATGTAGTTCTAATTCAAAAACAAATCCAAACCTTTGGTATATTGGCATGGAAATTGTATCTGCAAATGCTTTTGCTAAATTAAATTGTAATGTACCTTTTTCATTGTTTTTAGCAACATGCATCCATCCCATTCCATTATATTCTGACTATTCCATTTTATTCTAAATGAATAATAGCTGCGGTTATTATTTTGACCGCACGATGTCGCTATTCTCACGATTTTGGCCCCTCACCTCGATCATGCCAGAAGACTCATTATGCAATTGGTCAGTTTATTAAAACAAAATGAAGGGGGAAAAGGGAGAGTTTGTAGAGGAAAAAAACTTCAGCCATCATATTGTAAAAAGATATTTGAGTGAAGCCCACATGTTTTGCCCATGTGGTCTCCAAATCTTCTCTATTTTACACTATACATTTGAAACAAATTAACTCGCCTCAGTCTTCTCGAAGGATTCGAAATCAGTGTATACCTCAGAATTTCAACCACATTAATAGTATGCCAGAGAAAATCATATGTGTGCAATTAAATCGCAATATTTTGTGTGACCACATGTGCGGTTTGAGCCAAGATCATCTTTGAATGAATTAATCACAGATTTTCTCACATGAAGGCACAAAACAGATGATTAGCAGTGCTGAGATTGTGTCACGCAGCCTTCGATGTGAAAGGGGAACTGTGCTGCTCTGTAACGTCAGCGTTTGGCTTCAGTAAGAGTTTCAATAGCATATTCCCATTTCCCATCCTTAAAGTGATTTGAGTAACTCATGTGTTTTTTTTTTTTCCATACAGAACGGTCATGGGTATCATTATGACCCTCCCAGCGTCCGACTGTTCGTGATATGGAACTGCCAGTGCCTTTTGGGCAGATTTCATCTCCTGCTGTCAACTCCAGAGTCTTTGTCTGGCTAAGATGGCCCAGTTTCGCCGTCGGTGTCGTGTTGCAGGCTCCGGCCGTGTGTGTCTGTGTACGCAGGTCTGTGCTAAGCGCGCCTGTTGACAGGTATGATATAGAGTGCATCTGCCCCCAGAGCCCTCTCACACACAGCAGACAATTGAGTGCGAGATCGTAATGGGAGCGGGGCCCCTAGGGGCCGGCCGTGGGGCTGGGAGGGCCGCGGCTCCTGTGTCATGGCTAGGCTGGAGTCAAGGTTTGAGTTTACGAGCAACCCCCAGCCTCTCCCTCTCTCTCTCTCTCCTCTCTCACACACACACACACACAGCATTACTAAGCCATGTGCCTCACAGAACTCTGAAATTTCTCCCTTGAGGCCAATCCCTCGTAATCAAAATTAATTGCCTGTCCTTGAAACTGTAATCGGGTTTCACTTTCTCTCTTTTTCACTTTTGAGCTCAACAGGCTCAAATATTTCATGTACATTGTGTTAATTTGTCAGTTTAACGTGAGTAGTGGTTGCTCGCATGAATGCAAAATGGTTTGCATGAGTGAATCTGTTTTTACAAAAGGTGAATCTCGTGAAAAACTATCCAGATCATGTTTCTCCCCAAAACCAGTAGAAAGAAATATTTTGCTGTTAAACTATAGGCCTACGTTGCAATGGAGATCTTAGTCCTAATTTTAATTTTAATATCTATATATATATATATATATATATATATATATATATATAATTATAAATTATAATTATAATTATAATTATAAAAATTATAAATATAATTTTAATGTATATATATAATATATTTAAAATAAAAAAATGCAAAATATAATTTATATGCTGGGCAATATATGTGTGTGTAAATATTTTGTATATTTAAATACTCACACATGCATGTATATATTTAAAAAATATTTGCATGTATATATTGTATACATAATTTATATTAAATATAAATATTATTATTTTATATATTAATAACACATGCATTATGTACTTTTTTATATACAAAATAATTTTGCACAGTACACACACATGTATTATGTAAGCACAAACTTTTATTTTGGATTTATTCGATTAATCGTAAATATAAAGGCCCAGCCCTTTATATTTATTTATTTTAATATTTCTATTGGGAAATGTTCCCCAACTGCTATAGGGCTGCTTTTGTAAATTATATTAGTCAAACTTTTTGGTTTTGATGCATTTATTATATAATACAAGCCCCTAAACACATATTACATTTAACAACATATCAACTCAATTTTGCATTCAAATAAAAAATAAATATACAGCTTTGCAAAAAAATTATAACATTAAATTTAAATACAATAATTAACTATTTCAAAATATAATTACACAAAATATTACAAAAAAAAAAAAAAGATTGATTCCAACATTTTCTTTTTCAGTTCTCCGGTTTTGATTAGATTTTCCTAAGTGCTTCACCTCCTGTCGAGACGTGTTTTGCCCTTATAACCCTTTTTTGGGGGGGATTTTTCTAAATTAGGAGCTGCATTATCTGCTGTTCAAACACAGCTTTGCGCTCCATTTCCTCCAGACTGGTTTAAGACAGTGTGTCAACATTAGCAGTCAACTGGGGGATCGTATCTCACACAACCGAGAAAGAAGCTCAATTTAAACTTTTAAAAGGCTTTTCGATATACTTTCTTAGATTTATAGTGTTGTATGATGCCAGACTGACTCGGGGACTTTTAATTTGAATTTTCAGTGGCAGATCGCTTCAAACCTATAACGGCATAAGGGCCTGGGGGGCTTTTTTTGTTTAATGTGTGATTGTTTGTGCCTCTTTCCCCACTCAAACGTTTAGAATAAATAATCGCCCACCCCCTCTCATTGCTTACTTCTCCCACGGACACACACACACACAGTCCCATTAGCATCTGATTTGATACACATCATGTTAGTAAATGAATGGCAAACTAGTGAGTCCCCCCCTGCCAGGACAATCGATGAAATGCTCCTCAGGTGCAAACATCTCTCCAGGGCTGATACTCAAACCTCAGTGCTCCCCCCCCAACCTCACCGTCCCTCCTTATCAGAGCCACCCTTAATTAAGAGCCATTAACATTCCCTCTCACACCTTCCTTTCAGCCGGCTGGCTCGGCGGGTTCCAGACCCCTTGCTGTCAGGCTTGAATGAGCAATGCGCACATTTATTCGCTGGCCGGAGTGCAGCATGCTGGCCCTGAGCCCCCCGGCCCGCCTGCACGTGCAGCCCAAACAGAGCGACCCAGAGAGGCGCTTTATTGTGTACATTGTGGGCATGTAATGTTTATTAATGCTTTGGCCATGTAAACCTTTGTTTGCCATGCCAATAAAGGCTGTAGTAATATTGAATTCTGACAGATGATGAAGTGAGAGAGGAGAGTGTCCTTTGCTCTGGGACAGCTGCTATAGCACTTCTCAGCACAATACAGCTGGTGCGCTCTAATTACCTCAGCCGTGAGCTTTCAGCCCTGGTCATCTGAGAAAAATGTAAACCATCCAGTAGGAAACAGTGAGACGGGGTACAGAGTGAGTTATTGATAATGTGGCGTGGAGCACATCATCTGGAATTCATGCTGCTTCCTGCACATAAATTCATTTGGAGTCAAGTGCGTTTGCATGGGCCATTTAACCTAGGTTGCTTTATAATTGATCATGCACACTTAGGTTGCCATTTCAAATTATACAATTGTTGGTCATTTTAAATGCTTTAATGAGATGGTTAGTTCAACTCAGAATCAACACGCACCAATATAACATTTTTCTTAATGTCAATATCATTTGTTAACAAACAAGCATTCATCACTTCAATGAGCTCATTGTTTCTGCCTTCAATTATTACATTGTTTACATTTTTTTATCTAACCGTGATTTGTATAATGCATAACTTACGTCTCATAACAGATCACTCTAAATTGTAATGTGGACTCATGCATTTTTTGTTAAGCTGCTTTGAAACGATGTGTATTGTGAAGAGCGCTATGCAAATAAAGGAGAAATGAGTTGAATTGATTAAAAAACATTATCTTTAAAAAGATAGAAATGTAAAATGCTAAAATATATTTTTTCAATTTATGCTAGAAATCCATGCATTTGTTAAATCATATTTTCCATAAAGAGACTGAATCTATTTTTTTACTATATTTTAAAGACAATTAGGCCCATTTACTCCCATTTCTCATTATTGTAATGCGAAAATAACATTATTTAAACATATTTATTGGGATATTTGTTGCACTGCCTTTAATTTATGTTGATTTTAATTTGGTTAACTTACTATATACAGTAAAACAATTATTTTTTATATATACAGTAAAACAATTATTTCAATTATATCAAGACAAAAATAATATTTTTTTGGGGGGGACTTTTTTTAATTTATGATGAAATTCTAAATTGTATTCAACAGGAGATATTTGCACAGTACTTGTTAAGTCGTATTTTTCACATGGAAAGGTTAAATCCTATTTTAGGACTATTAAGATGTTGCCATTGTTTTGACACAATGTGACAGTATTTTCATGACAATCAAACACATTTACTGCTATTTCTTATTATTGTAATGCAAAAAATCTCATTATCATTAAAATGTAGAAAACATTAGATAACTTCAATTGGAAAGTATTAATATAATACAATAATATTTGTTGTACTTTGTTTAATTTATTTGGATTTTTTATTTATTTTAATGAGTTCACTGTAAAAAAAAATATTGATGGTTTAACTTAAAAAAAGTAAGTAACCTAGTTGCCTTAAAATTTTAAGTTAATTGAACTGGAAAAAGTGAGTTAATACAATGAAGGAGATTAATTTAACCATCAGAAACTCAAAATTATATGTTATCTGAACTAAATAAATTATTTAAGTTGATTTGACAAAAGAAAAAAATGTGATTACTGGTTAATTTGCCCGTTTACAGTAAAAATATATTATTTTTAACAAGCAAATGCAGTAAAATGTTTTGTTTTTTTATGAGGAAAATGAATATTGTATTTAACAAATTAATAGGCCTACATGTTCTTGTTAAATCAGATATTGAGGATAAATCCTCTTTTTTGTAAAATATAATTTGATATAATAATCTATCAAAAAATGATCAAGCTATTTTTCACTCTAAAATTACATTTAGCATAAAAGACGTAGCTTTGATACAACATGACATTATTTTCATGACAATTAAGCACATTTACCATCATTTCTCATTATTGCAATGCAAAAATATTATTCTCATTATTAAAATGCCACACATTTGGCATTATTGGTATTGCATTGGTCCCAAAAGAATGATTCTCAGTGCTGTATTAAATGCAAAGCACAACTGAAACTTTAAGACTTGTTTTCAGAGAATGAATATAACACTAATATGTTTTGCAGATTTATTTTGAGCAAAACCTTTCCAAATGTGTGATTTTACAGTGTTCGGCTCTTTGTGATTTGTTGTCAGACACACTCTGGTGGTGTCCATTAGCTGTGACCGTATCACACAGTCTTGATGTGCACTCTCCTGGGGCGTAAACTTCACCTCGGTTCGGTCTGACACATTTCACAGGGGACTTTTACAACCTGTGGGTTGTGGTGGCCTAAACAACATTGTTTGCTTTGACTGTGGTTAGTGCAGTCGCCACAGCGTTTAATGGTCTATTTGGTGTGCTGAGAAGAGGCTGTTTTTGAGAGACTGGCTGTTTTTTTTTTTTTTATAGTGAGAGTCCTAATAGTACCTCATTTCCTTTCCACACTATAGGCTGACCAAAACAGAAGCAAACTGATGGCACGGCAAAGCCAAACACCTCAGATAACACCTCTGTTGTCCACATGTCAAGAGTAATCTTGAGCTATGCTGTAAAAAAAATGGCTCTTAAATTTCATTAATGTAATCTTAAATGTCATTAATGTAAAAGTACTATAGCAAGTCAGTGAACTTATATACAGTAAAAAAAAAAATCAATTTAACAATACAAGAAGGTTCAAGGTTCTTTATTAATTGTCACATACATGTACATATACATGTGATGCAATGTAGTGAAATGGTTTTCCCTAGTTTCTTATCCCACAGTGCAAAAATACCCTAGGAACATCTAGGAAATTTTTCATAAGTGCTG